TCTCCCCATGGCCCGGCCTGTGGGCGTGGAGCACGGAGGGAAGCAAGACGGGTGGTGGGAGGCGGGAGGAGAGGCGAGAAGCAGGAGCCTGACCCTGGGACACCCCCCTCCCCTGGTCCCACCCGAGGGGCTTCTTGGCCACAGACACCCCCAGGCCCCTCATTAACAAAACAGAGCCACAGCCTCCCAGACCAGGGGAAGAGCATTCAGTCCAGTTCCTCCAATGGTCAAGAATGGGCAGCCTTCCTCTGAAAGGGCAGCGATTTCAGCCCATTGCTCATGTGGCCACTGCCTGACCCCTGCCAGGTAGAGCGTGTTCCCCCAGACCTCGTCATTGCAGCTGTGACCCAAGTCCAGGTGTCAGCGAGCAGTAAATGCCACATCCCGTAGCTTCTTGTAGTCCTGGTGCACGTTAGCCTCCTAAAGGCAAAGGAATGTCCTGTCATAAAACATCAAATAACATCATCCCCCCTAGTGTTTCATATATATTCATACTTTCTTCTCTAAGTAACATTAACACGCTTTGGGAAACACCGTTCTGGACCAGAGTCGCCTTTGCCGTGTGAGCTTGTGTGTACTTGTGGGTAGGTTGGTCATGATGGCCTTTACCTGCCGCCTGCCCGAGCGGGTGAGGGACTCTGACAGCTCTAGGCTTGCTCAGCTCCTCCTGGGATGAGAAGCCTCTCACCTGCCCCTCCCCCGCCCCTGTCACCCCACCCCCAGCACCTGGAAGCCCAGAGCACAGGTAGGTGGGATGCTGAGGATGAGTGCTGACGAGCTTGCATCCTGGCACGGCCCCCAGCTGGCTGTCACAGGCACCCCCACCCCACCCCCAAGACCTCCAGAGTTGTGGGCCCCCAGTGGCACTGGGCTCCACATGCTCAGCAGATGTCAGGACTGGGACCGAGGCCCCACCTCCAAGGGCTTGGCTTGCTGTTCTGGAAGGTGATCCTGGCTGGTGGCCATTCCTTGAGCCCCCATTTAGAGCAGTTGTCAGGCAGTTGCTGACTTGCAGCCTCCCCTCCGCCCTCCGAGTGGGGCCAAGTGACCTCATTCCTGTGCCATGCTATAGCAGGAGAAGGAGATGGGTTATGACCGGGGCAGGTACCCAGATCCGGGAGCAGGGTCCTCCATCCCCAAGTCCCGGACTCTGGTGTGTGGCGTTTGCTCTCAGGGGTGCATCCTAGCCACCCAGAACAGCTTGGGGCATCACCTGAGGTCTGGCTGCTGGGCCCCCAACAGGGGAGGATCAGGGTGAAAGGTGAATAAGCCAACTGTTGAGGCTCCTCTTCTGATCGCCCTGCCTTCCCGCAGAGGACAAGCCTTCAGCCCCTTTGGCTGAAGAGAAGAACACTGAATGGGAGCCCAGAGCCCCCTGGACCTTGGGCCACAGGACTGCAGTTTCTAAACTAAGGCTCTTTCCTGCCCAGAAGTTCCTGGGTTCTAAGCTGCTCCTGCCACGTCCCAGGTCCTGTGGAAGAAAGATGCTGGGGGGCCCCCTGCTGGCCTTTCCATGGAACTGACCCCTGGAGTGGCGGGGGGGGGGAAACCTGTTGAGCCCGGGGAAGGGGGCCTTCGCTGGCCTCAGAGGAGAGCGGAGACATCCACCTGCTCCACCCCACTGCCACCCAGCCCAGTTCGCCCTCCGTGGTGCCTGGCCCTGCTTTTGACAGTGAATCCTGAACTCAGGGAATCTGGCTGCTGGCCACTTGGCATTTCCTTGGCCTTCCTGTTCCCGCACTTGACTGGGGACCTTCCTCCAACTGCGCCGTGCCCCCTCCCAGCCACCCCAGGACTGAAGTGCCACAGTGCTCCAGGCCCTGCTCCTGCTTCCTCCCGCTCACAGCTTGTGTGTTCTCTCTAACCCTCCCTCTCCCCCACCTCCCCCTGCTGGTATAAGAAGGATTTTAAGGACAGGTTGTGGGGAAATGGTCCCCGCAGCTATCCTAGAACACTAATGAGCCGTGGCAACACCCAGGGAGTCGGCCTTATTGCTCCGCCACCTCCCAGTTTGGTGACATTGACGGTTTTCTGGGATGAATGCTTGATATCAGCAAACTCTCCTGGAGAGAATGCCGCAGGCTCCCCTCTCACGTCCTGCCCCCCTGTCCTGAGGGAGGGGCTAAGACACTCCGGGAGAAATGGAGCGCCCCCCCCCCCCCCCCCGGGGTTCACGAGGCACCTGTCCAAGGTCAGCCTCTGCATCTCAAGCTTCGCCGGACTTCTCAAGGTTATAGGAGCACACTGGCTGTTCTCCCACCAGCTTCAGGCACTCGTGGGAGTGTACTGGGGTCCAGGGGGCTCCAAGTAATGGAGAAGCCCCTTGACCGTGGTCGGTTGTCACTGCCTGGGGCTCTGGGCATTAGCCCCACCCTCCCCATCCCTTTCTTCCTATTCCGTCCTTACTTGAGAACCTGAGAGATGCGGGCGAGAGAGGCCCTGCAGGAACTGGGAGCAGGAGTGCGGCTCCAGCCGGGGAGGCACCCCCACACATTCAGTTCCTTTGACCCGTGGGGACAGGCTAGAATGCCACAGCCGCGCCGGCTGCTCGGGCCAGCCCAGCACTCCCTCCCCAGCAGCCTGACCACAACCCTGCTATGGGGTCATGCTGCCCCCTGCTGGCCACACCGGCAAAACACAGGCCAGCGTCAGTCCTCAGGCCATATAGGTGTTTCTTCTTCGCCCAAGCTTGCCGCTGAGCTGGAGACTGCGGGGGCTCCAAGGAACAGACCATGGGCGCCCTGCCCACAAGGATTCTCAGACTGCATGGGCAGACAGGTCTAGAACCGCCTGGCACACAGTAATGTTCATGGAGTGAACAGACAGATGAACGAAGGCGTGCATCTGAAGCGTTCAGCTGTTGCCGGACTCTGGTATCTGACCAAGAACAGACAACAAATCAAATCAGACATTTATTGAGCAGGGACTGAGACTCCTCTTGGGTTGACAAGATCTAAAGAGGAAAACCAAGTATGAAGAGTCCAACAGTGCTAAACTGCGACACAGGTGACCGCAGAACAGCCTGGCTCTTGCCGCCAGGTGGTTCATTGGCAGTGAGGACCCAGAGGGGTGATGGAGACAGCCTTCAGCCTGGGCCTTCAGGGAAGGCAAGGGAAAGGCAGGTAAGGGGGGGGGGTCGATGACAGGGATGAAACTCACAGGGCATGGCCAATGGGCATCCTCCAGGATGCCCTTGTAATCTGTGATATTCACATTGGTCTCCACGACCGCCCTGCAGAGCAGCTGCTGCTACCCCTACTCTACATTTGAGAGAAAGGGGGGGTCACAAGAGGTCCCGGAGTCGTGCCCGTTCCTACAGCAAGAACACGGAGCCAGGATTCAGACCTCCACTTAGGAGACGGTGGCCGGATTCCAGTGCCTGAACTCCGAGGTTTCTCAGCAGGAAGGGGTGTGCACGAGGACAGATTGGGGGGGCAGAGGAAGGCAGAACGGTCACTGCAGCGGCTGTGAGCACACAGTAGGGGACAAAGAAACTCCTCCTTCCACACCTAGGGTTTCCTGCATGGTACAGGGGCCAGCGGAGGCCTGACGCTGCCGTCCTACGCCCCACAGCAGGCCAGCCCAAAGTCAGCCCCACAGAGGAGGGGCTCCTTCTCCCAAGGCCCAGACCTGGCCCCGGTCCCTCCGATGGTGCCGCCACCAGAGGGCCATTCCTGCAGCCCTTCTTCCTCATAGAGAGGGCTTCTGGGAGAGACAGATGTGTTCTCGAGACAGCTTGGCAGACCAGAGCCACCCTTCTGCCATGGCAGGCCCAGTCTGGGGGGAGGAGGGGCTCTGTCAGCTCGTGCTTGTCCGTCCCCCCCACCCCCATCACGGGCTGCTTTTCTTTCCAAGAGCTTGGCGTGGTGACGAGGCTAACCCTAAAGCACCACCCGCACCTCCAGGGAGAGGCAGTTTGTCTCAGGCCCCCGGCTGCTTGTTGGCAGGGCTACGGGAGCCTACTCCCTGACCCCTTCTGGCTCCGTTGCAAGAAGCACAGGCTTGATGTGCAGCTTGGGGTCCAGAATAAAGGCAGGGGAGAGTGGTCCCTGACCTGGGCAAAGCTGTCCCCATACAGGGCACCCTGGCCAGGATGGCAGCAGCGTTGTCCAAGCCCCCTTTCCAGGGGCTTCTGCTCTCATGCTTGTGTGTGATCTCCTCATCCTCCCACCGGAGCCCTGGGTGGGGGAAGCAGCACATGGCCTCCTGCCCCAGATTTGGGGGGTGGGGGTGCCGACCTCAGGGCTGTGCAATCCAGCTTCCCACTTTGCCTGACTCCTCAGTCTTGGCACGTTTCTTTCCTCCCCCCTCAGGCCCCGCTCCTCTCCCTGGGTCCTGGGGGTACGTTTATCTCTCCACTCGGAGCCGTATCTGTCCATACTTGTTGATTCTAATTACACGCTTGGGCAGCAACACTCAAGTGTTCAATCCTAAGAGGTTAACTCTCTGAGATTTGAACACCTCAACAGCACGTTTGCCTCGCCCCAGGATGTGTGATTCCTCTTACTGTCTGTGACCCTCCTGTTCATCCTCAGAAACCCTCCTCTCCTCTGGAAGAGAAGGGAGCCCTGGGTCTGCTGACCACCTTCTACGCAGCCCCAGGAAGCGCTCCGAGTTCTCTTGGCAGGCCTGGGCATCTTGTTTTCTTAGAGCTGGGGACGCCCCTTGGTGTCCTGGGAGGCGAATCATTCAGCAGACAGCTTTATTGAACACCTTCTCTTTGTCAGGCAGGGCGCTGGGGTGCCAAGCACAGGGGCCACAGCAGAGAAGACAGATGCCATCCCCCGCCCAGGACAATGGGGAGGTGGTGCCCAGGCTACCAAGGAGTTAGCGCAAAGAGGGGTATGAGCAAGGGGGATGAGATTGGGTGGCAGGAGGGAGTCTCTAGGCTGAGACCGAAGGGCACGAGAGAGCCAGCCTGCGGGTAGCCTGGGAAAGAACAGGCAGCGGCAGCCCTGACCCCTGCTGGATCGCCTCCCCCCCCCCCCCCCCCACTGCAGGCTCGTGGAGGAGTTTATGCTCCTGGCTAACATGGCAGTGGCCCACAAGACGCACCGCACCTTCCCTGAGCATGCCCTGCTGCGCCGGCACCCCCCACCCCAGACCAAGATGCTCAATGACCTCGTGGAATTCTGTGAACAGATGGGGCTGCCCATGGACTTCAGCTCTGCTGGGGCCCTCAATGTGAGTGCTGGGAGTGCAGAGGAAGGGGGAGGCCCTGGGGAGAGGAGGCCTCCTAGTCACAGAGGCCCTGGCCGTGGGTCATGCTCCCCACCAGGACCAGGCCGAGGGAAAGCCACTCTACACTCCTCTGTGGGCAGGGATCCTGCGGCCAGGGCTGGGCTGGGCCCAGAAACTTTCAGTAGGGGGCTGAGATGATTGGAAGCCCGAGAATGTTTTAATGGTAAGTGGTGTCAAGTGCTCCCTTCCTGGAACTAAGCCTTATGGGGTGCAGGCCTGATCTCTGATCCCCCAGAAGGGAGGCTGTTCCCATCTGGGCTTTTAAGCCTGGGTAGGCAGAGAGGTGCCTTAGGTCAGACAGCTGGAAACCAGTCTCTGTGTCCAGCCAACAAGACATGGAAGGGCTGACATCAGAGCCACGGCCCAGTGTGGGACACGGGCTGGGGGCTGCTAGCCTCCGCACTCCACCATGGCCTTCTGAGCAGGGTCGAGCTCCTCAGCATACCCTTCCTCCCCAGAGCCAGGTGTCAGATGGTCAGAGGGTGACAGGGGCCCCAGAGCCTGCCCCAGCTTGACTGCCTATCACACGGTTTGCTTCTAGAAAAGTCTGACCAAAACATTTGGAGATGACAAGTACTCACTGGCCCGGAAGGAAGTGCTCACCAACATGTGCTCCCGGCCCATGCAGGTAAGGAGGGGCCTGGTTCCCCAACCTCCCCCTTCTCCCAGGAGATTGCATTACCTAGGACAAGTGAGCCCTGAGCTCCTGAGCCCGATCTGCCTCCTACACAGTCCTACATAGACTTGCCTGCCTTACCTGCTCAAGGATGGTTTCTGTGGGGCCATTAAAGGGCCCACTTTGAGCCCCGCTGCCCCCTGCATGGCCTCTGAGGCTCTGTTTCCTAGCTGAAGGCCGGGAGTCATCCCAGGCACACACCAAGCCTTCAGTGCCCAGTCCCCACAGACCAGACCAGCTCAGGGAAGGAATGGGGGCTAGTTAGCAACTCAGTTGGATGGGCACCCTGGAGGGAGGAGATTGTCTGTCTCCCATAGCAGCCTGCCCAGAGGGGAAGTCATCAGCCTCCACCATGCCTTGTGGACCCCAGGCAGAGAAGTTTCCCTCTTGCTAGTTTGTAGGAGAGGAGTTAGGCGGTGGGCCTGTGTCGCAGGCGGTGTGACGGGCAAGCAGCCTGGGAGGTAGACAATGAACTTGCTCCTAGCAGCACATCTCAGCCCTCTGAGGCTGAGCTTCAGCCCCTGCAGGCGCAAGCATCTTGGGAAGGAGCCACCCCACCGGCCTGTCAGGTCAGCAGGATCTGCAGATACTAATGGGGCCAACTCTAGGCCCCATTCTGGCCAGGGGGCAGTGACAGACCATTTTTCAGGGGCTCAGTCACTCTGCAGATTCAATCTGTTCACAAGAACCGGGTCACCTCAGCTAGCCCCGGCCAATTTATTTCCTGACACTCATATTTTCTGCCAGGAATGGAGCCATCGGGGCCCTTTTGGGTCTGGCTGTCTTTACCCTGTCCCTGGTCACAAGCGTCTGCCCCCACCAAGCACCTTTAAAGCACACCGCACAGAGGGGCAGGTGTGCCTGTGGCCAAGGGACTTGATGTCACTCTGCCCGCTAGTTACTCTGAGACACGGTTGCCCCTGGGTCTCAGCAACTGCCTGTTGACTGCGCCAGGCAGGGCCAGTTGAGCTCCCGTTCCCTGCCCCCCGCCTCTGGAAGTGTCTGGAACTGTCCACCTCCAAGGTCAAACTAGCCCTGGAGCTCTGTGGAAAGGAGCTCTCCTCTCCTGAGTCACCTAGAGCCTGAAAAAGAGTGACTTCTGGCCTTGCCTGCCAGTGAGTGACCTTCAGGGCTGGCCTTTATATGGGGAGCTGATGGCGGGGGCGGGGGGGCGTTATGGAGTGTCTGTGGTGCCCCTGAGAACTAGGACGGGGACAGGGGACCAGGCAGCAGCGGCAGCAATGAGCACAAACGTCCTAAGGAAGCCGCTGAAACAGGACACCTGGGACTTTCCTGTCCCGGAAAAGCCACAGTCCCCCCCTCATCCCACCCCACTCAGAGACACCTTCCCAGCCAGGGAGGGGACCAGGGCCTCTGTGCTCTCACCCCAGCTCATGTGGGGAACTGGGCCACCACCACTGAGAACAACGCCCAAACGTGGCTCGGCATGGAGGCTGCCCCCACGTCCCCCGGTGACTTGCCCCGGACATAACCCAGGCCACAGCAGGAGCTGGGAGGCGGCCTCGGGGAGCTGAGCAGGTCATCCCCAGCTGCACCCTGATTCCTGGCCCAACACACACAGTAACCGGAGCCGGCTGTCCACTTGGCCGAGCGCACGGGCAGCAAGGGGAGCGAGCGAGTGAACACCCAAGGGTGTGACTTTGGCCCTCAGTGAGGAACCTGTTCACTTGCTCCTCGCCGCGTGCCTGAGTCCCAGCCCCGAGAGCTCGGGGGCCACAGGGCAGGCAGCGGCAGGGACTGTGGCCAAGCCACCCACACAGCAGAACCACCATGGCCTGGAGAAACTCGGCCTCTCTTCATGTACCCCAGTCCTCACTCCTCCCCTGCAGAGGGGCCTCTTGAACTCAGACCTCTGAGTCTTGGTGCCAGGACGGCTTGTCAGGGACAAGGGCTGAGGCTGGCGGCTGGTGAGCCTCTCCCTCCCTTGGCTGGCATGGGGTTGCCGGCAGGGGGGCCCGGAGGTGTGAGGGTGCCAGCATGGCCTTCCACGGGATCGGGATCAGGGCTGGAGGGCGTGAGGTCGGTCTCCACCAAAGACTGGGCCTGGGCCACAGAGGAGGGAGCCAGGCGCCCACTGCCCATGTCCCTGTAGGCGGGTACCAGGCGTCCCGCGCCTTCTCTCCTATGGGCCGTTCTGGCCAGGTGGCGGCGGCGGCGGACTCCACGTCCTCACGGAGCCCTGTGGCCGCCCCGGCTTCCGCTTGTGCCTCCGCAGCATGTCCGCAGCCCCTCGTGCAGCCGGCCACAGGCCGCCTCCCCTCCTCCCGTCCTGTGGAGCAGACCAGAACCGCTCCCTGCCCCTAAAACGACAGCAGCAGGCCAAGCTCCTCCCCAGCTCCCCTCAGACTTCAGCCCGTGGTCCGCCCTCCCCGAGGGCTCGGGGGGCCGGCCCCACAGGGCTCTGAGGGAGGAGGCCCTCCAGCATCTGGAGGTTTCCCCGCACCGCCTGTGCCCACAGAGGCGGGGTGGGCCCCTTGCGGTGCTCTCTGGCCTGTTCTCGGTGCTGCCACCACGAGGGGTCTGCACAACCCAAGGCAAGGCCCACATTTGTCTTCAGCGGGAGAGGGGCATGGATGCTCCGTGGATGGGCGCAGCCCCATGGCAGCCCCTGGGCCCCCTTACAGAGAACGGCCCCTGGCCTCCTCAGGCCCGCGGTCAGCCGCCTGCGACCTGGTGGGTCAGTCCACTCCAAAACAGCCCATCCCGAGCCTCCAAGTGTCACAGCCTGGCAGAGCAAACCCGGCCGTGGCCTGGCCCGGCCTGGCTCTAAGACCCCGCCCCCATCCCCCCCCAGATGGCCCTGTACTTCTGCTCGGGGGTGCTGCAGGACCAGACACAGTTCCGGCACTACGCCCTCAACGTGCCGCTGTACACCCACTTCACCTCCCCCATCCGCCGCTTCGCCGACGTCCTGGTGCACCGCCTCCTGGCCGCCGCGCTTGGTAAGAGGCACAGCCCCGGGGGGTCATGCAGGCCTGTGCCCACCTAAGGGCTGCCCAGGCCCAGAGTGGGTACCTAGCAGCCAGAGGCCACACTGCATGGCCGTAGAGGCCCCGAGGGGTGGTCAGCCGAGCAGCAGGTGTGCCTGGGCCCGGAGACCCTCCCCACCCCACCCCCACCCTGCCGTGAGCATGCTAGGGGTCAGCTGCAGTAGAGCTCATTAAAAGTCCTATACAAAAGCCAAGGGCCCTAACCGTGGCTGCCCCCGCCCCCCAACCCTCGGAGCTGGGCAGCAGAGAGACCTTAGCTCAGCATGGGCCGCCCAGGCCCCACGTTGCCTGGGCAGGGAGCACCGTGCCACCTGTCCCCAGCCGTGGCCGGCATACGCACAGCACCCTGCCAGCAGCCCCACACCCACCCTCTTCCCAGGCTACGGGGAGCTGCCCGACTTGGAGTCCGAGGCCCTGCAAAAGCAGGCTGACCACTGCAATGACCGCCGCATAGCCTCCAAGCGCGTCCAGGAGCTCAGCACCGGCCTCTTCTTTGCCATCCTGGTTAAGGTGAGGCCACCGGCCCAGTGCCCCCTCTCCCCCTCCTCCACCGCATTTCCCCTCCTGGGCACCAGCTGTCAGGGAGCTGAGGGGCCTCTGGCAGCTGGGGTGGGCCCTGGGGGTGATGCCACGTCCCGTGGCCAAGCCTTGGCTAGAGCCCTGCCCTGCAGGAAAGCGGCCCCCTGGAGTCAGAAGCCATGGTGCTAGGCGTCCTGAACCAAGCCTTCGACGTGCTGGTGCTGCGCTACGGGGTGCAGAAGCGTGTCTACTGTAATGTGAGTACCCACGGGCCCCCGGGGCCAGGTTAGGGACCTCCGGGCAGGGGTGCTGAAGGGCATCTGCTATGACGTGAGTGCCGGGACCTCGTGGCTTCTGTGCAAAGCCCTCCCGCACCCACAGACACACTGGGCCGTGTCCACTGCACTGTTTTCACCTGCGTGTCCCCCCCAGCCTCTGCCGGGGTCCCCTCCATATTTGCCTGGCATCGGAGGGGGGGCCTGGCCCAGGGACAGCCCTTGACAGACACACAAGCATGGAGGATGGGAGCACAGGCTGGGGTCCTTGCTGTCCTCACCTGCCCGGAAGAATACAAGCCATGGTGGTGACGTTGGCCATGTGGTGGTGGAGGGCGTGCCATCCCTGACCTGGCTTCCCTCTGCCACCCAGCACCAAGCCCACCTGATGGGCCATGCCGGGACACCCCACTGCACCTGCCTGGGATGAGGGGTCCAGGCCAAGAGTCAGGCTCGAGAGAACGGGCCCCTCCCTCACCAGTGCAGGGTGGCGGAGCTTGCAAGCCTTGGGGGATTTCTTAATGGGAATGTGAAGGAAGGAAAGAGCAGAGAGAGTGGTCCATGGCCAGCCTGGAAGCTGTGTCCCCTGAAGAGAAGGAAGAGACCAGTCCTTGCCTTGGGTCCTGCCCTGTGTGGCTATTCAGTAGAGGTTCTTTCCGAGGGTATTTGGTGCCTGTGCTGACGTCATCTGAGGGACCTATTTTGGCTGACCTTGCGGTTAGCAGGTCACTCCCTGGCCCCTGGCCCTGGCTTTGAATTTCCTGACATCCAGAACCCTTGGGGGAATGCAGAGCCCCGCACACAGAGTGGAATAAGCATGGAGTTAATACAGTGAAGCAGAAGAGACAGAATGGAGTCCAGCTGGGATCTGTCAGGGCTCCGGTCCTGAAGTTCACTGAGCAGGACAAAAGTTCAGGTGTCGGTCATCAGACAGGTCTAGGTCTGCAGACAAGCCGGCCCTCAGCCTGTGCCTGCAGGGGTCGACACCCCTCTAGCCTTAGGCGCCCGGTGCACCTCAGGCCTCAAGTAGACAGTCCCTGATGAGCCCCTGCTGCTCAGCACTCGGTCACCCTCAGGTACGGCCTCAACGGAAGCTGGCCAGAGGCCAGAGGCAAGGGTGGGGTGGTCCCTAATCAGAGGTCGACAGCCCGCTGCTGGGCTCTTTCAGAGGGAGGGAAGAAAAAAGAGGGAGCTTTTTCAAGGCCAGAGGCGGGCAAAGGTAGGGGGCTGCCTGGGGGGGGGGTCAGGGTCAAAGGTTAGGAGCTTACAACCTGAGACGTAGATGTGTGTGCCCCCAGGCTCTGCCCCTGCGGTCCCACCACTTTCAGAAGGTGGGCAAGAAGCCAGAGCTCACGCTCTTCTGGGAGCCTGAGGACGAAGGACAGGAGCAAGTGCAGCAGGTCAGACCCCGGGAGTGGGGCAGCTTCTCCAGAATACCACTGTGTGCCCGTCCACCCCCTTGCTCTTCATGAGCCCTCCTCCTGCCTCCTGGGGCACACTTGCCAGGCCTCCCCTGCTGGCCCTGCTGCCCCTCCCCGCGCCCCGGCACTTAGGCTCCCCCGTGGGATTTCAGATTCTATATGCAGAGACCTGCAGCTCCCCCATATGCCCTCCTTTGGGCCAGAGCTTTCCCGTACTGCCTGCCCTGCCTTGCCCCCCACCCCAGTGGAGAGAGGCAGGGGGCTCTGCCTGTCTCTTTAAAGCAGGGTTTTAACCGTTGGGGTCCTTTGGGGAATCTCATGCAAACTATGGATCTCCTGCCCAGGAACTTGCATATAATGGTTTTCACCTACAGCGTGCTCTGAAGGCCAGCCCCAGACCCCAGTTCCTCCCCCCCCCCCGCCCCCCGCCGACCCTGGGCACTCACTGTGCACCAGGCAACGCACACAGCCGTGTCGGGCTTCCTGACTTCTCACCGGGGCCCTGGGGCCTCAGTATCCGAGCAGGCTCAGCTTACAGAGGCCTGCAGGGGAGGGCAAGTGGTCCTGGGGCCCAGCCAGGTGGACAGTGGCAGGGCTGGGCCCTGCCCACCCCCACCCCCCAGACCGGCCCCCCACGACCCACTCGTGTCACCAAACTGGGCTCTGCTCTGCTGCAGGTTGTCACCATCTTCAGCCTGGTGGAGGTGGTACTGCAGGCCGAGACCACCGCCCTCAAGTACAGCGCCATCCTCAAGCGGCCGGGCACCGAGGGCCTCCTGGCCCTGCAGGACAAGGAGCGAGCCGCCGGTGGCCCGCAGGCCTGAGGCCTCCCGCGCAGCCGCACCCCGCCCACACCCCTGCCCCACCCACCGGCTTTTAGGAATAGGACCTTTCGACACCAAAGGGGATTTTTAATTTGGTTTTTAACAACTCAGGGTTTTGTTTTTATTTCCTCATTCTATTTTATTTTTGCAGCTCAGTTTTTAAACAAACTGGAGAGGAGAGGGCGGGGCTGGACGGAAGGCTGAGGCCTGGCTGGTGCTTCACCGGAGCAGAATGGGACCCGGTCCTCCTGGGAAGGCCAGCCCCCCTTCTGCCAGGCCACCCACTGCCTTCCCCTGCCCAGGAAACCGGGGACTTTCAGCAAATCAGTGTCATGGAATAAAATCAAGTGTGAATTGCTGTCTGGTGTGTGGGGCACCGCTGGGAGGCCTGGGCAGCAGGGTGCCCCTTGGACCCAGGACAAGGGACCTGGCTCCGGCTCCACCCCTCTCAGCTGAGCTGGGGTTGCCACCCCCCAGAACCTTCCTGTCAGTTCCAGAATGATTCACAGAGCTGGCCACATGTCAGATTGATGCCCGTGCCTCATTCTGGCTGATTAGAAATGTAATTAGTATGCAAGACAGCGGGCTCACCCATCACCCTGCAGCAAGTGACTGTCCATCCCCACCCCCACCCCCGCCTCTCTGTCTGCTGGCCTCAGGAGGGACGGCACGAGTCCTGTGGCACTCCCTCGGTCAGGTTCTAGGCCAGGGCTCTGAGTAGCCCTGTCCACACCCCTCGGTACAAGCCGGTGCCTCAGCCCCTTCAGTGCCGGTCCTGTACCCTAGTGGCGCTGAGGGAGCCGGGGGACAGAGGGGACCTGGGCCTGCCAGAGACGAGGAAGGCCCTCAAACTGGCCTTCCCGACCAGGGAGGGGGAAAGGGGTGCCTGGCAGCCCTACCCTGGCCTCGTCACCTTCCTGGCATCATCCCGAGCACCCACCAATTGCACCAACCCTGGGGACCCAGGGACCGAGACGGAGGGCTCCTGGGCCGTGCTCTCTCCCCAGCTGGCCTGACCACAGCCTGCACCCCTTCCCCGCCTGACGAGGGAACCACAAGTTGGCTTCCCCAAGGGCTGCCGGAAACGAGGGTGCAAACCATAGCGACCCCGGCCCCGGTTCCACCGTGCTTTTCCTTGGGTGTCGGTATTAACGAGCCCATTTGATCTGGTTGCAGTGAATTCTCTTCAAAGAAAAGTTCAGTGCAGTACCTTGTAGGAGGGCCTCGCGGGGACCAGAGGACCGATGGCGTGGCTGCCTTTGTCCCCCACGGGCAGGCCGTGGCTCATCATCCGCCCAGCCCCGGGCCGGGTGTCGGAGGGGAATGGAGGACACGCCACCGTCCTGCCTTTCTCCTGCTCCAGCACCTCAGCCAGCCTTCCAGGTGTCCATCTCGCCACCCCCAAGATGTCCCTGAGGCCACCAACCCCCTGTCTGTTCCTGTCCCCAGAGCCTTCTCCTGCAACCAAGGATCTGAAGGGAAGTTAGGTGTGAGGGGCTGGTGGTTTGGTATTTGGATGAGGAGAAGATTTCTGGGTGTTTCCTGTCCTAGGCAGCCCGACAGAGCCCAAGGGCAGGACCATCTCAACCCTGTTCCGATCCCCTGGACTGCCCCACCCTCTGAGGAGGAGCCCCATTCTGCCCTGGGGCTGGCCCCTGCCGGCCTCCCACACAGCCCGGGAGCTGAGCCCCTGTGGCGTGACACCCATCAGGGAGGCAGTGGGTCAGAGCCCCCCGGGCCCTCTCTTGAGCAGCATGAACTCAGACCGGACCCCAGTCCTTACTGCCCCGGTGGCCCCCTGAGCCCCGATGAGGCATAGCCGGCTCGGCCAGCAAGGAACATCTTTGCCGCCAGGACTTGTTTGGGCAGAGGTGGGTCTCGCCCTGATGCACCCTAGAACCACGGGGGCCATGGCCGCCCCAGCCCACCCCCGCTTCATCTGACAGAAGTGGAAACTGCACCCAGAAAGGAGCCAGGCCTCTGCTGGGTGCTCAGGACAAGCCAGGCCTCTGGCCAAGGTGACACAGCGAGACTGCCCAGCCAGGACCGGGCTCAGGCACCTGCCCTCCACTGCACCCCACTGCCCAAAGGAGGCGGCCCAGCACTCTCCCCCAAGGTAACGGGGTCCGTCTTCATCCCCGCTCCCAGCACGCGGAGGTCCACTGAAGGAGCCGGCCCCTTCTGTGTCCCAATGTGATGGAACTGTTGACAAAAGGATGACGAGACACAAAACCTCATCAAAAAGGAAGACTCATCCGTGCGGCTGCTCCAGAGCATCTGCACACAAGTACCGGCAGAAGCCAGGACCCAGAGCGAGGCTCTGTCTTCCTCAAGGGGCCCCCTCGGATCCCCATGGCGGAGGGAGCCGTAGGCGCAAATAACGTCCCTACGAGACGAGGCTCTTAGCAAAGTTCCGAGGCTGGAGAGGGTATCCCCAGCTCCGAAGGGAGGGGGGCCAGAGGATGATGCGTGGGCCCCACGGGGGTGAAGGAACTGAGCCTCGACGGTACTTGTCTAACCCCGAGCTGTGAGGGTCAAGGTCGCTAGGATCAGAGAGTGCTCAGAGGACGCGCAAGAAGATGCTGGAAAGGGAGACCGCGTGGACCCTCTGAGCTGGCCTGAGAGTTTGCGCTCAATCCGAGGGCCGTGCAGGGCTGGGCCGAGATCCGGCCCCCGTGCCTTCACCGCTTTACTCAGCGGGGGGGCGGCGATGCCCGGTGTTCTCGGGGCTGCTGTCCAGCGGGGGAGTGGGGTCACTAGCGCGGCAGGCGGCGGTGATGGCGTGAAGAGGAAGCCGGAGAGGGGGGCGTCTCAGGGAGCAGCCTGGTGGCCGTTTGCAGGCCCGGGCCCTGAGGCCCAGCGCTGTCTGGGCGGTGGAGGGGGCGGGAGGCCAGAGCGCGGGTGCGGGTTAGCCAGGAGGGCCAGCGAGCTGGGGCGGCGAGGGCTTTCCTCGCCGTCGGGGGGAAGGAGGGGGGAGACAGATGAGGGGTGCAAGCCAGCATCCCCAGGCTTCGTGCTGAGAACAGACCCGGGGGCTCGGTACAGAGGCAGGGGCCAGGAGTGGAGGGTGTGGGGCGCAGCAGCAGGGGGTGGTGGGCAGTTGGGGGATGGGGGATGCCAGGCTGGGCCCTGAGGTGCAGGGGAGAGTGGTGCTCGGGTGGGGTGTCCTCAGCACACAGCCCGGATTAAAAGACTGGGAAGGCTCAGGACTGAAGATCGGATCAGGAAGATGAGAAGGAGCTGGTACAAGGAGCCTGGGAAGGAGGAGCCGGAGAGAGAGGGGTCCTGAGGCTTCAGGAGGACTCCTGTCTTTTGATTACATAGGACAGAAACCCAGTGCGAAGTGGCTCTGGGAGGAAGGGAACTGATAGGAAGGCTGGACAGAACTACCAGAGGAGGGCGGGTAAGCCCGCCTTGGGGGAGGCAGGGAGGCACCACGCCTCCAGGTCACCTGGCGGGGGTGGGGAGCCTGTGCCCCTTCTCTGTTTCTGCTTCATTTCCTCCTGGTGTAGATCACTTCCTCTGTGGTGACCTTCTGGAAGCATCTGCCTTCTGTATCTTGCAGCCCACCCTCCTGGAGAGAGACTGACACCCTCTCCCAGCTCTAGTTAGAGAAGACCCCAGGAAAGAATGGGGCGGCTGCCCAGCCCTGGCCCATCAGAGAGCTGTCATGGTACAGAATGGTAGCTCCTGGGGTCCCTGGCAGCTGGGAGGGATGGGCAAGAAGCTGGGGAGCAGGTGCCAGGAAGAGGCTAGGCCACCGGGGAGACACAGCACCAGATGCCCCTGCAGCCCAGATACCCCATGTTCTCACTTATGTGTGGAGTCTAAAAGAATCAAACACATAAAAGTAGAGGAGAATGCTGCTTTCCAGGGCCAGGGCAGGGAGGAAGAATGGGGAGCTGTTGGGGACAAAGTTTCAGTTGTAAGATAAACGAGTTCGGGGGATCTCACGTACAGCATGGCGGTGTAGTTAACAATTCTGTGTTGTGGACTTGAAAGCCGCTAAGCGGGTCCAACTGCAGTGTGCTCACCACAGAAAGCATATGATCCCTCTCAGGTGATATGTTAAGTAGCTTGCTGGTGGTGATCATTGCACAATGTATCCATATATCAAAACATCTAGTTGTACACCTTGGATATATACAATTCCTATTTGTCAATTATACCTTGGTGAAGCTGCTAAATAAACAAATAAATACAAACGGAGTCTATGTGCCTCCCCCTTAAATCTGGACAGGCTCAATGGCTGCTAATATGCAGAAATGTGGCAGAAGTGACTTAGGGCCAGTTTCGAGGCCCCGGCCTTAAGGAACCGGCAGCTTCTACTCCCTGTCTCTTGGAATCCAGCTGCCATGTTGTGAGGATGCTCAAGCAACTCTGTGGAGAAGCCCTCGTGGAAGGGAGCCAGTTCCTCAGCCACGTGACAGAGCCATCTCGGAAGCGGACCCCCCAGGTCCCATCCAGCCACCCCCGCCGAAGCCCCATAGATCAGACACACACTGTCCCCTCCAGGCCCTGCCCAGATTGCAGATTTGTGATCCAAGAAATGTGTGAGCTGGTCTGGGGCTGGTTCGTTATACAAACCATTATAGATACCCAGAAGAGAAGATCAGTAGACTGTGTCAATAGACAGAGCTTACGATTGAAGAATGAAGAAGTGATTTAGAAACAGTGGTAAATATCAACATAGAAAGCCAAAAGAGAGGAAAGTGGTTGCCTCAGAGATGGGAAAAGGCAGGGAGGGAGACCGGGAACTGCAGTTTTTGTTCTGTCGTAACAAACCTCACAGAGCTATTTGGTAATTTAAACTATATTCATGTATAAATTGGATCAGAATAAAAACCCAAACAACCTCCCCCACCAAAAAAAGAAAAAATCTTTTTTCTTGGCAGGAATGGATCTACAGTTCTTTTAAAAGGTTTAAAAGGCTTTTTGTACATTCAGCAACAGGGATATTAAACAGTCCATCATTCCAGTAAGTAAGATAAAATTCCTGCTGACAGGTGGCCTGATAATCCCAGTGAGTTCAAATGCTGCCTAAGGCCTTCCACTTAAAGACGCAGGTGGCAGTCTGGGCGGGGACGCCCCTGGGGGCTTTGGTCGCTCCCCGTCTGAGCCAAGGTGAGGAGTCCAGGGCAAGGGACTAGGCCCTGGGCAGCTAACCAGCCAGGAAGCAGTGGCGGGGGCGGCGGGGCGGGGGAGGTGTTGGGCAGAACCCACGGGTGAGGCTGTGGGCCTCCCCGTGTGATGCGAGTCTGCAGGAGGGCTGAACTTCAGGCCCCAGCTGGACTCTGACTACAGATGCCCAGTTCATGGGCCCAATCACAGATTTCAGGGTCAGTTGAAGGTGAGAGGGGTATTGAAGTAGATGAAAGACGTGAGTCCC